AATACACTGCATTCGATTATAGAGAAAAATAGCACAGATAGTGCAGGTGTTGAGTAAATAAAATGATCACTCTATTGACAGCATGTTTGTTTTGTTTTTTTGCAATCCTTGTGTGCATGCTGAATTGCATCAGCAAAAGCGCATGCCAAAACTGTGTGCAGCCACCTTAAATCATCAGTAACCACTTTAAGGGGATTCCTAAAAGTAAATATGAAACCAAAAACAATAACACATTTAAATCTAATACAATTGTCTGTGTTTGCAATAAATAGAAAGTTTACAAGAGTTGTTCTGAAGTGGAAGTGGAGTGGCCATGAGAAACACCTTGCTATAATTTAGTTATTTTTTATTTAGTTAATCATTGTTAGTTAACATGTACACAAAAACAAATTGTAATATGTACACAAGAAGAAAAAAATTTTGAGGTTGAGAGAAAGGTGGTAATAAAAACATTTAGGTGTATGTGCACAAAAAAAACTATAGTCACTGTGTAACATAAGGATATTGAACAGGTTTTCTGTGTCTCAGCTCACGCCACCCAGTGGCCTGCAAAGAGCTTCAAACCCCTTCTCCAACCAAGCACTTACAATTAATTATTTTAATTACAAATTTTTTTGTTCCAAAAATAAAGACATGGTAAATAAATATTAGAGAGGTTCACTAATACTATTGCTCTGAGTGGTCATTCATTTCCTTCCTCTTCTTCCTTTTGCTGTCTATGTTTATTTATTATATCAATGGTTTCTTTGATTGCTTCTTGCTCTTTGTATCTCATGTATCTGCACATTTCCCTGTCAAGGATTCATTCAAAGGTGTTAACACTTTCTAAGACAACATACAGTAAGTTACACCATTTATACCAGTGTTCTACTCAGGGGGGGGGGGGGGGGGGGGGGTAGGGAGCAGTACGCAGCCCCTGCACCCTCCCCCTAGATCCGCTCCTGGAGGTAATGACTAAGTTAGCGGTGAGGAAATTACTGACTGTGTAGTTTGTCTTTTTGTTAAGTANGGGGTGAAAGACTCCCATATAAAAGGGACAAGGGTGCTCGTCAGAAATTTTGACAAGAACCCCTAAAAGGTACCAAGATCTTGCTTTGTGGGTGTGGGTTGAAATTTATTTCACCCCTAAGAGGTACCAATTCTAAAACAAAACATATATCCTGTCATATTTTTTTGGCTCAATACCCTAAAAGGTATTGTAAAAGCTTCCATTGTGGAAGTTTTGAGGCTGAACACCCTAGATACCTAGGAGGTACCAAAACTATACCAAAACCCCTTTTTGACCCCTAAAGGTACAAACATCCCCTTCCTTTTTATAAGGGCTTCCCCCCTCCCCGAGTTCTACTTGCACAGATGTTTATTCTAGGTAACAATGCCAATGTCCTGAGACAATCCTCCGTAGGAAAAAAGATGGCCACTGGTACATTTACCTGTAGTTCTCAGCGTATGAAAACCTTAACAACAGTCATAAAAACGTACAGAAGAGCTATAAAATCTTCAAACCAAACATACACAATGTCCTTAGTACAAGGACAAATATTGTAAAAATTTGGCTTTCTTTGTGCCTTATAGGCTGTGTTAGGTTCCCAAGGTATTGTGGTAAAATGTACAGCCGTCATCTTTTTTCCTACGGTGGATTACATGCATAGTGATTTCACCAACTGGTGTCTTTTTAACACGCATAGTGTCTTTTTAACATGCATACTGATTTATCCAACTGGTGTCGTTGTAATTTCAAACTGTATAAATTGTTTACAACTGACATCACTGCTGCCATGTTGGATGACCATCAGCAAAAGAATTCTAATAAGTTTTATTGTTTCTGTCATCCAACATGGCTGCCAAGGACTTTGTAGTTTGAATCTCTCGGTAATGGTTGCAAACCACCTTATTTGTTGTTAAATGAATCATAATTACATATAATTTATATTATCATTCGCTGCACTATTTTCTTCCTTCTCATTAGCTGGTAGCCCACCACATGACCTGCAAATAACTACCTACAAATAATGGTCTGCTCATGCGTAGTACCATCTAGAGGTCTAATTGTAACCCGCTCTCAGGTGAAAAATAGCAAATTGTTCCCTGAGCTGTCAGGGAGTGGCAGCTAATAATTGTTAAATATTGCCAGGCTCAATGCTCTCTTGTATGATCAAAACAGGCATAATGAGAGAAAGCATTTCTGTGAACAGATCATCATGTGACAGACTTTTTGTACTTTACCAGTAAAAACATGTACATTACCAGCTTCCAAGGGAGATTATTGCAAACGAACCAACTGCGTATCGACATGACCTGGAAACGTGCACTGCAAACAAAAAAAGGAAAACTTGAACAATTTGTACAACCCACCTTCATCCTCAACCCCCCATCCACGCAAAATATCCAAGAATCTCAGCATTCCTCTTATTGTGGAGTTAAATACTTATAGATTTAAAAGAACATCACGTAAATGCTCGTTTCACTTACTTGATTTAAGAAAGTACCCAGCACCAACGATAATACCGCCAGTCATCCCATATAGCAATGATTCACGGGCGCAAGGTGTTCTCTCGATAAACTTTTTGAAATTCCAGCTGTACTAAGTATCATGAGAATGTAGTATGATGTTAATTGTAAATACTGTCATAACATACATGTACATAGTTAAACGTCGCATATCACAAATTTAAAAAAAAAAGAAAGCCAACCTTTTTCTTATCGCCCGAACTCATCGCATCACCCGCCATTTTGAATTTGGCAAATGTAATGCAATCTTTTAGTCAGCGGTCGTCGCCATGATCAATATGGTCCTCAATATCTGACTATTTATTGACTATTTGACAGGAATGCAAGAAGATGTTTTACATAGTATGACCGTAAAGGATTTTCTCTGAAAGAAGTCGTCGAGTTCTGCTAAAAATGTCTGGCTACCCAGTCGTGTTAAATGTCTATGACATGGTATGTAATATGACTTCATGCTTAAGCAGACACCCCGTAAAACGTAAAACGTGAACAAAAATGTTTGTTAGTTTTATGTTAATCACGAGAGTCTTAATGGACTTCCTGAAGACTTAGAATCTATAAACATTCGAGAAAAGCGAATTATAGTGTTTTGTATCTCTTTTGTAGTACTGGATAAATCAATATACGTTTCCTGTTGGTCTCGGAGTCTTCCACTCTGGAGTAGTTGTGCACGGCAAAGGTAAGTCGAGCTGAAAACTTCGGATTTAAGCTTAATTTTAAAAATTATGCAGGATTGACTGGTGAGATTAGCTTATTAAATTATATGTCAAACGCGTAGTTTATTGTTTGGTCGGCATCTCAATAGTTCCTTTTTTCCATTGTCTCAATTATTCAACCATCTTACTTTTAATAAATGGCTGTCTTTTTTTGTCAAGTCCGCTAAAAATTTCTATATTTCGATCTGAAGATATTAAAATTTTATTCTTGCGCGGGCGTTGAAAGGTGTTTCCAGCTGTTGTTTTTGTGTTTACTTGATAATTGTGAAATAAGTTTTTTTTGTTAGAAATAGAAACGCTAGTACTGTTCATTAAGGTTTTAACTGACGTTCAGAACTAACACATGATAACTTTCATCAAGGTTGATATTAGCAATACAGCTGTTTTCCCAATCAATTTCCATTTGGACTAATTTGAATTAGGCAACAAAAGTGGTCAAGACAATTTTAGAAATGATAGTCTGAACAATATTTCCAGGGCTACTCCCTGCAAATATATTAAGCGATAATTTGCTGGTTCTCCCTGCCTCGTCCCACTTCTACCAATGTTGTCAATTTTTAGCAGCTACAAATTATTTACTGTTTTTGATCCTTGTTCTGGTAACACAATATATTTATTCACAGCTTCACAGCTTTACACAGCACTTCATTTTCACGGCTTTCAACATGCATCGTTTTGCAACTCTTGCAAAGAAACACAAAGGAACAACGCGAGAGTCACATGATGCTACAAATACTGTCCCAGGGTATCCATGGGGTACCATTACAAGTCAAATCTGTTCGGTTTCTTACTTAGTCTACCCGTGCGGGTGTAACGGGCTGTAACATTCTCCTTGCCTTATCCTCTATTGGAGAGGGCAACATTACGCTTAGGCTTAGTGATAGGAACAGTTTTACTATTAACACAGTTCGTTTCCAGCTTCTTCCCACCATGTACAGGAGGGTCTTCAGGAATCACTTGTGGGGTTGCTGATGCTATTTCTAATCTGTGTAGATGCTGCACACATCTGTTTAGAACACTCTTTTCCGTTCGCACTGTTGCCGTTGGCACAAGACCATCACGTCCAGGGTGAACTTCTGCAACTCTAGCCAGCGGCCATTTTCCACAGGACATGTTATCTTCTGAGACCAGCACAATAACTCCAACTTGTACGGGAGGTTCTTTATTATGCCACTTGCTTCTCATGATCAAATGATGCAGGTACTCTTGCTTCCAATGCTTCCAATAGTGATTGAATAATCTCTGAGGGTAAAGGTACCTCTCCATGATTCTCTTACTGGACTCCTCTGGATTGTCTTGACTAACATCAGATAATTGGTTAAGTGGTCTGCCAATTGCGAGATGAGCAGGTGTAATGGGAGACGGATCTCTGTGATCATCACTCACTGCAGTCAGTGGTCTTGAGTTGATGACACCTTCAATTTTTACAAGTAATGTGTCCAGCTCAGTGAAGGTAAGAAGTGCTTTTCCCAGGACCTTGTGCAACGGTTCTTTGACTGCTCTACAAAATCGTTCTCACCAACCACCTCTCCATGGTGACCATTCAGTGATGAATTTCCACTTGATCCCTTTTGATGCTAACTCTGACTCAATGCGATTTTGATCCAGTGTGTCCCACATGGACTGGCTTTGTGTCTCGCGTTTGGAATACAACCTCTGGATTTCATTACTTGCGGCTTTGAATGTTTTTGCATTGTCTGACCACACTGTATGGCACAGGCCTCTGTGGCTTGTCATGCGACTAAAGACCTGTAGAAATGTGTCTGTAGTCAGGCTGTTTGTTAGCTCCAGGTGAACCATACGGGATGAAGCACAGGTAAATACACACATACCTTTTCTTCACACTTGTTCTCTCTTTCACGTATAGGGGCCCAGCAAAGTCTATACCGATGTGTGAAAACGGTGGTGAGGGTGTAACTCACTCTTTGGGTAGAGGTCCCATCTTCTGGCCACAAGGGCCAACACGTTGTCTTTGGCAAATGACACATTTTCTGATGATGCGCTTCACTTCACGTCTTCCTTGGGTTATCCAAATTCTCTGCCTCAAGGTTGAGAGCAAGGTTTCTGGAGGTATTGTCACATCTTTCAGCTGCAACAACTCTGATTTCCACGATGACCACTCCCGTTTGATGGCACTGTCTAATGGGTCATCCCATTCTAATCCTCTCCTCCACAGTTCTTGGAAAAGGATCCTTGCTCTCACAGTGAAAGGAGATATCAATCCCATTGGGTCGAACATTCTTGATGCTAAACTTAGAAGGCTCCTCTTCGTCATTGGATCATGGGATGAAACACTTTCATTTGGTGCAATGAATCTGAAGCAGTCAGAATTCAAGTTCCATGATACACCAAGGGCTTTTAGTGGTTCATGTGAATCACACTCCACTAGTAGTGACATTGCTCTTTTGTCTGGGTCTATGCCATCCATTACGAGCTTTGAATTGCTAGCCCATTTTGTCAAGTTGAACGCTGCTGCCATCATGATGTCTGACATCTCTTGTTGAAGTTTCAGTGCTGAGTTGTCTGTGTCAGCTCCTGTTAAGAAATCGTCTACATACTTACTGACATGAGCATTCACTGTTGCAATGGCAAGAAATGGACTAAAGTTCACTCAAAATGTCAGTCTTAGCATTCTGTAAACTTTTGGTGCTTCCTCTGTCTTTAGATCTCTCCACAGGTAACAGTGTACATCTTGATCCTTTGGTGCAAGCTTAATCTGAAGGTACATCTCCTCTACATCTGCTATCATTCCAACTCTGTGGGTACGAAAACGGATGAGGACAGAAGCAAGGTTGGGTTGCATCGCAGGACCAGGAAGGACACAGTCATTGAGAGAAACGCTGTCTTACTCTCGGACAGAAGCATCAAATATGATTCTACATTTTGTTGTCTGTCTGTCAGCTCAGAAAACAGCATGGTGCAGTAAGTACCGGACACCTCCATCTCCACTGGTCAGATCTACTACTTCCTCTGCAAACCCTTTCTCTACATACTGGTTGATCACAGTGGTGTAAGCTTCAGCTTTCTCAGGGTCTCGTTTCAACTTCCTTTCAATACTTTTGAGTCGTTTCACAGCTTGTGCATAGTTGTTCTCTAGCTTTGGATGGTCTCTCTCCTATGGTAATCAAACTTTGTAGTTCTTGCCATCAAAGTTCAGTCCGTCATTGAAGTCATTGACTGCAAGCTCTTCTTCTTGTGACATAGTTGGATTTACAGTTTCAGTAATGTTAATTGATTCTAGATCCCAAAACCGTCTCAGACTTGCAGTGACCTCATTATTCTCTACCATCATTAGCATGGATGATGTATGCTTTGAGTAACTGTCTACAGGCCCTGTAAGTATCCATCCGAAGTGAGATTCCACAGCTACCAGTGATTCAGGGTTCTCTCCTTTCTTGCAAATCCCAGTTACAAATGAGTAATAGTGATCAGCACCGATAAGAATGTCTACTTGGACTGAGTTACAAGGGTAGGAGTCTGCGAGAGTTAAACCTTGCAGGTGAGGGTTGTCCACAAGATTCAACATGACAGGTCTCAAGGGATTGCAAATCTTGGTTAGGGTAAGTGCTTCCATTTCCACAGCTTCTGTTGGATGTCCCCGGATCGGTGAGAGGGAGAATTGCACCCTTTGAAATCTCTTGGACTCACTAGTTTCTCTTCCTAGTGTTGCAACGCTTAATACTTCTGAGGAACCTTGCAGACCAATGGATTCTACAATGTTTTTATGGATATAGGACCGCTGACTTCCAGAATTGAGCAAAATGCGAGCTGTAACTTCTAGGCCATTCACTGATCGCTTGGCTAACGCTGTTTGAAGAAGTGTCTCCTTCATAGAGGTAGAGGATTTCGATGCAGCCAGTCCAGTCAATGTAGTATTGGTCGGATTCTCATTTGCTGCAATTAGAGGCTGACTATGCAGTAACCTGTGAGGACATTTCCACAGTTCACAACTGGACACTTGGGTTGACGACAGATTTTAGAGAAGTGCTTGCTGTTGGTTGGTTTTAGGCAATTAACACACAACTTGCTCTCAATATTTCAATGTTTCATCGTAATATAAGAAGCTCACAAAAAAATTTCGCTTTGCTTGAGGATTTCATTTGTTCCCTTGATAAAAGACCAGAAATTCTTGCTATTACAGAAACCAGATTAAATGCAAACTCTGTTTGTAATGTGGATCTTTTAAACTATGAACTTTATCATACTGACTCACCTACATCGGCTGGTGGGGCAGCTATCTACATCACTAAGACTCTTAAATCTATAGCCAGACCTGATATAAAATTTAATATGCAGCTAGTGGAATCATGGTGGGTTGAAATCGATCCATGTAATGGCAAGGCACCTATATTAATTGGATCCATTTATAGACAACCTGGTGTAAATATAGAAGAATTTGCTAAACAGCTCGATGATCTAATTAAAAAAAGTGCAGAATAGATACCAACTATGCATTCTGGGACAGTTTATTGACCCATGGCTTCCCTTGCAGAATCTACAACTTGGGACTGCTGGTGGTTTTGCCTCACTGAACAAAGCTGACGCAGTTGACACTTGTTCTTGGTCACTTACCAGTATTTCAATGAACTGTGGATTCCTTTGCCCATCTCTACTCTTATTTGTACTATGACTTTTCAGACTAAGATTTCCTTGAAGATTTCTTTTGCCTGCCTCTTTGGATACAACTTGTCAATTGAGGAACGTAAAGAACAATTCAAGATCAATCTCATCGTCTTGGGTGTCAGCCAGTTCTAATTCCCACTTCTCTAATATTGCAGAGGGTAACTTGAGCTCAAGTATTGGTAACAAAATACACTCATGACTCTTCGGGATTTCTCCAAGAGCTTCCAAAGCTCTAGTTCTGTTCTTTGGAGTATCATGGAGATCACGAAGGGATGGTGTTGTTACAACAGATTTTGCATCTATCTGAACAACCGATTTGACAAGGGATGAGATAACCTCTACTAACCTCTGAATCAAGACTTTTTTCTTTCCAGTTGTCAGCAATCCCTTTCCTTTAAGCAATCCATGTACTGTAGTTGCTCCACTGATTTTTGAGATAGCTTGTCTTCTATTTCAAAGTCACTTGAATATTTGGCAGCCATCTTGTCACGCATGTGGTTAGGAGTGTTGACTATAATCCACAGCAAATTGTACTTGTGATCGTTCAAATCCACAGCTCGAAGGACCATTAATGTTCTGGTTACACAACATATTTATTTACAGCTTCACAGCTTTACACAGCTCTTCTTTTTCACAACTTTCGTCATGCATCATTTTACAACTCTTGCAAAGAAACATGAAGGAAGAACGCGAGAGTCACGTGATGCTACAAATACTGTCACAGGGTACCCACGAGGTACCATTACAAGTCAAGTCTGTTCGGTTTCTTACTTAGTCTACCCATGCAGGTGTAACAGTCTGTAACAATCCTATACATAGAGGTTGGAAACTTTTTGGAAATTTTGACAGCACTGACCTTTAACTCGGGCGAGTAACTCTCAAAATGCACTCAGCTGGTGTAATTTTCACTTGCCCAGAAAGATGCCTGAAGTCCCATTTCTTAAAAAAAACTCTGCAATGATTCACAAACCATATGTTTTTTCTGGTATCTTGTAATCACAGATGCCCAACTTGCCATTTGGTGTTGCACTTTCTTGTTCTGGTCCATTTACCAGATGCCTCCGTAGGATTGTGGACCTAGTTAATTCTAGTGTTTTATCCTCAATATTTCCACGTTTCTGATTTCACATGTGTCCCTAGAATCAAGACATTAGAGTAAACAACTTGTTGGCACATGGTAGACTGACATTCTTTCTTTCAATGAAAAATTATACTAAATGACCTTAAACCCAAAGATACATGTAACTACAACAGAGGCACTTTGATTTTCAAAACAGTTCCTATTGACGAATCTTTGTGAGATTCATTCATTCTTTCCTCCATTGCTGCCTGCATTCCCCAAGCCCTCAAGTGGGGATATGTAGAAAGCTATGCAGTACATTTTCTGCTCTGAAGGTTTTGTGTGGATGCAGCAATTTTTCTTAATTTCCTTCATGATCCTAATTCCATTTCAATTAAAATATTTTATAATGGAAGATCAAGGTCTATCTTTTTCAGAAGGCTTCCAATATTAAATGCAACAGAAGACTTTTTCTCAAATCAAAGTTTACCCTGTCTAATACACGTAAGTAGGTTTACTAAGGAAAACCTTTGCAGATACAGTCAAACCTGTCCACAATGGCCACCTTGGGGACAAAGGAAAATGGCCCTTGTGGTGAGGTGATCATTAGTGAGGGTTCAACTATGGTTACCAAAACGGCCATCCATATTGTGCAAAAATAGGATAGTGACCCCCATTTTTTATTGCCTTTTTGGTTACATTCATAAATAATGAACAGTCAAGTCTTTAAATTTTCCTTGGTTTTGGATGGAATCACCTTGATTAAGTTCCTGCATGAGACTGCATTTAATTGTTTGTGTCAGACTTTCTCAAGGACATGATCTTTTTAATATATAGACCAAGACACCTGCTGAGACCAAGCCATGCATTTTTTTTGTTATCATTTCCATCCTGTAGAATATGCATTTGGTGGTCATCCAAACAACTGGTCAGGAATATTTGAAATGAGCCCAAAATCTGTGGAGGTGTTAGGAGATGATTTCAAATTCAGGTTGGTACTGTAAAGAACTTGCAAACAATTTTGTCATAAAAATTGAACAGTGTCGGGGTATCAATGGTTTACATGGGTACACTATCTAGGCAAGTGTAATTGTTCAGGTTATTCTAGCAGATTTTAATATCTAAGAAACAGAACATTTTCAGTGTTTCTATCAAGTTTAAGTGGAATTCTGCTTACAAGCATGCTTTTGTCAATGCATGAGACCGCATGTACCTTGAAAGACCTAAAAATTCCTTGAATTTGAAAACCTTCAGAAAAGAAACAACATTTTCACTTGAAAAAAAAAATGTTTCAACACAGTGGCATGTGCATCCGTGTAAGATGGGGGATTTGCATTTGTAATACAGCTATAATCTTTTCCTTCATTTTCAAGTTTTTTTTGAATGTGTAATATAATTCTTAAAAATACAGTAAATGCAGTGTTTACCAGGACATGGAACTTGATCAGTGCATACACTGTAACTTGCAATGACCTTGACAAATTTCTATCCCCTCTGTGATAATATTCTTGAGTTTTCTCCCTTCCGGCCAGTGCATGTTGTCTGCCTCTGCGTGTACTTTGTTTCATTTTGCCATATTGTTTACTGCCATTTTCAGCCTAAAAACTACTTTTTCATGCAATGTCTAAATGAAATCCATATGATGAATTCCTTGTATCTTCACCTAAAAGAATTGTAGGACAAAGGTGGGTTTCATGAGCTACTCTGCTGAGCGGGCACTATAATCTATCATCTGTTACATGTAGTCACCTGATAGTGCCTGCACATGATCATTCTATGGGATCAGTTTTGGCCATTGACAACAAATTAAAGGAAAATGATAGTGGTCAATAATAAAAGTAGATAGAAAGGAATGGCTTAAATGCTAAATATACCTTGTTTAGAAATTACTGTGGGAAAAAGAAGCTTATTAGGAAAATCACTCAGTACCACACTTACTTTTTAATATCAAAATAAACATTTACTTCACTTGTGGATCTATATATCTCAACAGTTACAATGTAGTGCTTGTCAACAGCCTGTGTTTCTTTTGAGTTTTAGAAGTATGGCTCCTGACACACACACTCTAACAGGGTGTTTTCTTAAAACTGAATTAAGAAAGACTGTGGCAGTCTAATCTTAGTTATGGGGATGGAATACAGAACAGCACATGGCAGTAAGAGGGTGCTTTCCATTCAATGAAAAATTCTGGTTTGAATTTCTGGAAATTTCCTGTGCTAAATGGAGCAGTATTTTCCGGAATTTCCAGAAAAGAGACATTTACCTTGTGAGGTATACCAAAGTTTTGAGAAATTTCTTACCGGGGATTTCCATTCCATTTGACTTTCCTTCCGGAATTTCTGGAATTTTTGTTTGAATGGTTCACCTTTTGGAAATTGAACAATTTTTGGATTTTCCAGAACCTTTCTCTGGAAATTTGCACACCATTTGTCCCTGTTTCAAAGTTTTTGGAATTTTTGTTTGAACAGAAAGCACCCAGAATTTCTTAAGTCTCTTGCTTGATCTGGCTTGCTTACTTACTGTTATGCTTGGAACTCACTCACTAATTCTTTTATTTACATGCGTATTGTCTTGGAATGAAGGGAAACTCTAACAATTGGAACAACAAAACTTTTGCCTAGCGAAGTGGAGGATCTTTTGAGAAGAATGGGAAAAAACTACCAAGGACGCTTTTATCATTTAATAGACAAGTATGAATGACTCAACTTGTTTTCAGGATTTTCAATTTAGTTAATATTTGCAACTTACAGTTGTTTGAAGCAAGTTTAAACTTTTGCTTTTAAAGGAGGTAGTCAGATTGTGGTAGATGTGGGGACCACTCTTTGACTGGTTGAACTTGTACCATGACAAGTGGTATGATCGGTCTTCTAAATGGTCTTCTTTAGGTCCAAAGGGATATTTCAATTCATTCAATTATTGCTTTATTAAAACCATTCCATTTTGTAATGGGAGTCAAGAAATCTCACTTGCATTGACTTGTGTAGAAGAAGTGAGATTTAAGAAATAATCAAAGAAAATCAAGCTGTTATCTTTGTGGATATCGGAAATAGTGGACCAGTGATTTAGTTGATTTGCACAACTGGATTCCATGCTATTGCACGTTTAATTAATAACAGTGCAAGCCTGCAAATAATTTTTGTCTATAAGCAGTTTATTTGTCGCCCACGGACAAGTTTTGACCTGACAAAAAGCCAGTCTGGTGGGACAAATTTTTTTTGTCATTAGAAACTAAAATAAGAGACATTTGCGACATTTTGGTATTAATTTTCAGTGTAGACCCTTTGCCAAAATGTTGGTTGCAAATTCAAATGGCTTAAAAGTAAAGTCAACTGAGTGTAAAATCAATACTGGCTTACCCGTTGAAAATTGACAAATTTACAAATGTTTGTACCCCTAGTTTGCCTTCACTTACTTGATCACACTTGTATTCCATATTTTCCTGTGTATAAAGTTTCCCATGTGGACAGCTTGTCAGAATAAAAACTCACTTGCAATAACATTCAGAGACTTGAAAATTGGCTGAAACGAATTCTTCGACTTTTTTCTGAAGGCAAATTTCCCTTGAAAATTTTTGGGGTGGATTGAATAAAAATATATGCGTAGTTAGATGACATTCCATTGGAAGTGGTCGTGACTACAAAGCATGACTAATTTGAACATTCACGCCTTGACAAAAAAACGTGTCTGTGGCACGGAAACTAATTCAAAATATATTGAACCACAGACGTAAAAAAAACTATAAAGAGCTATAAAACTAATTTTTGATCATATTGACTGGAAATACATTTGGTTTCGTTTTAGAGGTTTTAAAGTTTTTGAAAGCGATTGCATTCAGATAAACGAAACATGAGAATTTGGGCCGTGTATCCAAGTTGCATAATATTTTAGTCGCGTCAAATTACGACTGAGAATTAATTCCACAACATGTGCAGATAACAAACAACGAGTAACAACATATAAGACCTCAGGTTTAAGTAGTTTTTTAGACGAACATAATTCAGACTAAATGGGGCTTCACAATCTTTCAAGACACCATCCCAAAATGCAAAAATTAACACGTAGCCTGAATAGTGGCACTGATGTGTCATATTTACAATTCGATGTGATGTGTGAGACAATGCATTGGGCGTGATAAAATTATTTCTCAGAAATGGATTAAAAACAAAACAGATAATAAAGATTTTTTGCTTAGTAATGTGTGGCAGTACAATAAAATAACTTGTTCCATATTCTGCCACAAATTTCCAATTAAGTTATTTTTCATTTAGCAGAAATGCCAGGTCAGAGTGTCCAACCAGGCTAAGCTTGTACCTGTCAAAACCTCAAATTTACCAGACAATTGTCCGATGACCGACTGTTATTTGCAGGCTTGCAGTTAGACTGCTGTGGCATGTGGTGATACATATCTGTACTGTACCTGTAATGGGCTTTTCCCAATAGTGATTATGATGGTACTATGATCCTTGTGATCATATGGCTTACTGCCCTGGGATAAGTGCTCTTCATTGAATGTCAGCATCTCTGACTGACAAGTTTTTCAGTGATCAAAATGACCAGAAAGGCCATGTAATGAGGCAAAACGAAAAAAGAAAGAAAGAATTTAAAGGAACAAGCCATAAAAGGAAATGAGTGACTGCAATCATGACTGATGTAACTCATTTGAAACTGATTGATTAAAACAAACAAACAATCTTGTCGAGTTGGTGTAAAGAAGTACTGACAGTTATTGAACGTAATAGTCAGCGTCAGGTTTGCCATGAGGGAATCTGGATCTTGACTGAGTAGGATATTTTCCCTCAAGGGAAGGGACATAGGAAAATATGACTGGGATCAAGATTAGCCAAAGAAAGCCTTTGTGATTACGGGAACATTCTGGTCTGAATGGCGGGATCAAAGAACCATTTGGTGAACATTGTTTTGTGGATACAAAATTATGGCCTTTTACATGTGCCCATCACTTTTAACCTGAGGACACCTTACTCCTGAGAAAAAAAAAACAGTTATGCCAAAGATGAAAATCTGCCAAAGTAACTCAAAAGTTTTAATAATATTGACTGGTGTTGAAGTTCAGTCAACAGAAAATTGAACTTTGGTAGGATTGTAGAGTGCAGTTAGTCCAAAATGAGTTAACTACGGAGAAAGTAATATTTAATAGGCTATATATCTTATCCCGTGTTCTCATGTCAGTGCAATTCCTAGTACTTAGATTGGGCTTGGGCAAATTTATTAGTTCATACTCTGGGGAGATTGTATTAATAAATTTAATGTATATTATATAATAGCAGGATGAAATCTTTAATATTTCATGCTTTGACATTTCTGTTCTAGGAATTGTAATCACTTCACTTCAGAATTTTGTCAGGTAAATTGTTGTTTGTTGTTTTCTTTACCTAACTGTACGTGAACTGTGTAATGCATATACCCATGCTACATGTGCTGCTATATTTATTGACAAATATATTACTAAATAAATATTCACTGGATTATCATGTGAAATCAAAACTCAAATTTTGCTGCCAAAGATGAGGATGCCTGGGGCTAAGCCAAGGCAGCAGTTGTAATCTGTATGATATGTAAGGTCAAACTTTCAAACTTATTTTACCACAATGTAACACTTCTATTGTGTTTCGTTTTATCCCAATGCATCACTTGCATTAATCTTCAAACAAGAAATAAACTGTTAAGTCAAACTACAAAATCAGATTCCTTTGTACATGTATATTTCAAATTCTTGCATAATATTTTCTTCGAGTTTTCCTCAATTGTGGTTCATTCACATAACAGACATCTACCGGTAATCCCCTATTTTGGGGGATGCCATTAAAACAAGGTTAGGTAAATTGTGTGCATTCATTTTCACCATGATATGTGTTGAAAGGCAACAATCTTTACCTGTTAGCTACTCTTACTAAATACCAAATGGAGCTTGCTCTTCCATGTTCTCACTATATTAGGGACTGATGTCCACAGTTTTTATTAAGCTATTCAGAGCAACTCTTTTCAAGTTCAATGTGTTTTTATTATTCATTTTAGTGTATTTGCTTTGCCATCAGAGTTGTTAGATGCTGTTGCATTATTTAGGGAATCTTTCATGTAACTTATCTCGACTAGTTTTCGTTGCACCATTGTGAGACAAGTTTCATAAAAGTTTGTCAAGTAGGGCTGGAAACAATAACCAGTTATTGTTGATGGACAATGGCTGTCTTGATTGAGGATTTCACTGATCAAACTTTTGTCTTGCCGGTCATGTTGAGTGGTCTGCACATTCAATCATATTGAAATAAACCCAAGTTGGCATGCCATTGTTTACTAGCTATCGGCATACACCTTGCTGTATTGCAGAACTTTGATCTGAAATGATATCAACTAGAACTGTTTGTTGACAATCCGTGTATTGAATCTCAAATTGAAAATATTTTTCCTGTACTAATTTTCAAGTTGTCCATTTCCTCCTGGATTCAAACTAGTTCCAAAGCCCAGAATATACAGGTGTACATTAAAGTGAAATTGAAAGAAACTAAAAAAACCCTCTGTCACTTCTCCAGAAGTTTATCTGCCTTTTATGCTGTGGTATTTGCACAGTTTTATGACCCTGTACAGTACATGTGGCTAGCGTGATTCATACACCTGTAGTTGTTATACAAGGTGCAACCATTCTCCTGTTTTCCAGCTATAGAGAAAAACACACTGTCACTTAATTAAATACATTCAAATTTAAAAAGGTATGAAATGCAATACAGAAAAAAAGAGTAATTACATAGCTCCACCCGACAACCTGGCAACCACAAGTTGGCTGAATTGACAGGGAGGGAGAGGGAAAACATGATTTATATGGTATTGATTGGTGAAACAAAACAAAAAAAATATCTGGCTTGAGTAATAGACCTTTCCCACATTCCACTTCAGTGCGTATGAACAATAGCACCAGAGCGAGGTTGGGGTGGGCATTTTCATACATTTACTGTATTTTTGTCCTCCCTGACCTTGACTTGACGCTATTGTTTGTTGGAATACGGGAAAGGTCTATTAACCTTGCTTATTTGCCTAATTAACCTCACCTGTTTATACAAGTGTACTAAAACAAAATCAGAAACAAATCAAATTATTTTTGTAGCTTTTATTGTTGTGGATTTTTATCCAAAGAGTGGTAGTCCAAAGAACACTCTCACTCTAACATTGAACTTCCAATATTTAACACTCTCACTCTTCACTCTTGAATATTTCTCATAATGATAGCTGATTAATTGCCAATATAATTGACCTTTCTCATAAATGGTTGCCAATTGAAAATTCTTTTGTCTGCATGTAGATTAGCCTCACTTAACTCATTTGAGAGTAAAATTTCTTTTGAATTATCAATTCAAAAATGGGGTTAGTCAGGCTAATTTTGATACTTACAAACAAATTTTTAAATAGCAGTCATGTATGAAAAGGGTCTATAGATAGGGGTGGTGGTAGATTTACCCTTGGCTAATAGTACTTGTTTATTTAATACATTGAGTGATGGTTACATAATTTCAATTGGGTATTTTAGGCTCTGTGTAACAAATCAATACCTGCTTGGGTGAATAGATTAGCATCTGTTGGTTCATATTTGCCATTCCTGCTGAAGTGTATTCCTAGAGAATGGATAAGTCCAGAGCCCTGTTCCCCAACTCGAAGCCCAAGCTACGTATCACATCCATTTAAAGGTACCGGTAATTAAGATATTACATGATATGTTAGCATACATGTGGAGTGGAACAGATTACATGTAAGTGACTGATCCACTGCTTGTAGCTTTATATCTGATGCTTTGCATGTGCCTACATGTGTTTGCTTTGCATGACTGTGTGTCAATTGAGGCATTCATGTACCTGTTGCATTAGACAGCTGCTGAACGCATTTGTGAATGAAAGCCTTCAATCTAGTTTCACTACGTTCTTAGTACAAAGCACAGCTGCCAGAGGAAGGTTTGAAAAGGCAGTTGTGTGAGTCATGGAAATTTCATTCTTCAGTTTGTGTAACTGTATTGCTCTGGTTCAGTCATGATAATATTGAAGCATTAATATAATAATAACTTACACGAAAAAATTACTCGATTCTGACTGGCTTAGAGCAGTGCGGTTGAAGTGTAACAACAAAGCAAAAAGTGTAACACCAGTGCAAATAACACATCAAAATTTTAGATTGTGGTTGGCTGAAAAAAGATAGGAAATTTTCTAAGCCTGTGATATCACATAAAATAATGATGAAAATTTAGTGCGGAAAGTTTGAAAAACGTTTTCTTGAATGAGAAAAAAATGGCTTCAAGAGAGATCTTCTACTATTTCCTCCACGCAAATTCTTTCATGTTTATATTATTAATAAGTAATCATACGGTTTTTCTTGTTCAATTTGGAATTAATTTGCACTTGTGAGTTTTCAAAAAGCTGAAATTGCACTCGCCAAAGCGGTTCGTGCAATTTCAGCTTTTTGAAAAACTCACTCGTGCAAATTAATTCCGAATTGAACTCGAAACGGTATGATTACCTATACTAATTGCATTTGGTTTTTCAGATATTTTTATAATTCTGATTATGTGGTTCCAGAAAGTATTCTTACCAACCGTGAAGGGTTATTGGAAATTCCAAAGGGAAGGGGTCTCAGAAAAAGGCACAAATTTTAAAGGAAAGTATGAACCAAAACTGGAATTTTCAGAGAGATAGGGTGTTCAAACAGAAAAACCCTCCTGTTTCCTGTAAATAATGAAATAAACAGACACAAAGAAGTGACTCAGAAGTTATTGATTTTATGTTATATACATGAAAAGAGCAGAATACATCTGGACAATTTCAAATGGTGAATGCTCCAGCTAAAAAATAGTATAAGATTCTTATTTTATGTACTTCATGATGCAGTACAGCTTAAGTACCTTTTCATTTATGAAAGATTGAAAAAAAAATAGATGGCTTGACCATGAAAGCTTAAATGGAAACTGGTCTCTAATGACTTTGACTTGACAAGGAAACCGACTGATAACTTTGTTTAAATCTGTTTAAAGGAACCATTCACAATCCTATATGGAAAAATTATGGGATATTGTGATAAATCACCAGTTAAAAAACAGGCTTGCAGAGTACTAAGTGGTTGTTTTATGGCAGCCCAGTTACAATTACAAACAAGAGGTTTCAAGAGCTTAGAACTGGGTCTGGCAGTTTAATCACTCAAAACCACTTTTATTGGGTGAAAGGCCACAGTGAAACCTTTCTAAAAAAAGGTCAAAAAATCACATGAATAACAAAAAAGTCTGAGGCTTGTGTATGTGATTTCGTTTTGTTAGGCATATACCGTATTTACTTAACGCCACCCCCAATTGAGTGCCTCCCTTGGTAAGTGCAGTATTTGGGAAGAAAAGTTAATGAGCACTGCCCCAGGAGTGAAACGTTCCGTGGCCTGGATCCGGTGCTTTTGCGAGGAATTCCGTGTAACTCAAAATCCATTACAAAGCAAGTCTAACACAGCATTGGAGATCTATTTTCACCAAAAGCGGTGTTCTTCAGTTCAAAATGATTGTACTTCACCGCTTGCCATTAATGTCTCTGTTTAAAATTCTCAAAGTTGACTACATACATACATACATACATACATTACTTTATTTACCCTCGGATTTCAGAGTAGCTTATGCAGCTAATATCTCCAAGCATTCAACCATCAGATGAGAGATAGACCACCACACTGGGAACTACGTCCCCTACTCTTTTCGATCAGTGTGTGGGTTCTTTTACATCCCAGAGAATTAATTATGAAGAGTTCTGAGACGGGGCCTACAGTTTATCGTCCTTATCCGAGAAGACTAGAAACTCTAACCATTTGCTGATGTCATTACAAAGGCAGCACTTTCTCCTCAATTATTTAAAGACCCTGAGTGTTGGTCCGGCCGGGGTTTGAACCCGCGACCTCCCGCACACTAGTCCGGTGCTCTACCACTGAGCTAACCAGTTGTCGGTCTGATGACACCAATTGAAAAGTGTATGAAAGACAAATGGTGACAATAAAAATGACACTTCTGTTCATTATTGTTAAATTTTGTCACAGATTGAAAATGTACCTTTGAATTAAAATAAGAAACTTCTTTGTCACTTTCATTTTTTAAATAAACACCACTCTCAAATAAGCACTGCCCTCGAATAAACGCCACATTTGAGGTGTGAAAAATTTAATAAGTGTTGCGGTGCTTATTCAAGTAAATTCGGTATATGTCAACTGTGTGAGTGAACTGACAGACACCATAATTATCATTGACCTATAAAAAATTAACCTCTATTAATTGCCTTGTGAGAAAGATAGTCCTTTAAGCTCTACTTACAGTTCTTTTTTTAATTAGCATACATAATTGTGTAATTTTCTTATAGACTGCACTGGGTCAGATGAAGATGATCAACCAAGGACTAAGACTAAACACAGATGACAAGTACTCCATTCTTCATAGCCGTATGAGCATCTTCTGCAGCAGTACCAGAATTAGCTTTGGTATCTTACGGCAGCAATTATGTCTGGAAGAAGGGACTCTGTCTAAGGTTCCTAAAGCAGAAAAAGATACCAAGTTGTCTCCATCAATTAAGAAATTAGTCATATTTATTACAAATTAAAAAGTCAATTTGGGGGGGTGGGGGATTTTGGAACTTCAGATTTATTGTGTGGTCATTCATTTTGACTGGGTTTGGGGTTTTTCCTTGAACTTTCTGGGTTTTTTCTTGTTGGTATCCTTTGCAATGTGTGCTATAAACAGCAATTTTTACATCTGACAGTTGGTTATGCTCAGATGGTAGATCATGTACTTTAGCAAGATCAAGTATTATTCATACTTAGGGATGGACCATTTGACTTTTAAAGGGGTGTGTGGGTGATTTGATATCTAGGTATGATTTTTTTATCCTTTTAGCGCATTAGGGAGTTTTTTTCTCAGGATGTGTGTATCCATGATATTTTTTCGTCATGTAACATGCTTTTTTTCTGGCTCTCTGATCATGAACATGCAGTGGTTGACAGCACATGAATTTTTTTGGGTACAAGAATCCTTGCAGGATATTTTTTTTTGTAAATCACCCAACCTCTCCCTCAAAGTCAAATGGTCCATCCCTTAGCTGTTTCTTGATGCAATTCAAAAGGTGGGCTTCTGGTTGGTGAATTAGTGATTATGATTCTTTTATTTCTCATATTGAGTTTTGATCCAGGCCATTTTAGGCTGTTTTGCCAGTTTTTTTTCCAAAGTTCTCCCTCCCAGTATTTGCAAATATTATTATTTATTGAATGCTTATTCACTAATAATTCCATGGAAATGGAAGGCACTTAATTGCCAATGAACAGCCTGTTTACTGGCTATTTGAATGAATCGTCTGAGTTTTGAAAGAACCAATTGCATGGCCTGTAGGGTTGTTCAGGCTAATTTGCCTGTCTGTCTGTAAAAGTATTTTAAGAGGATTGAATGTTAGAACCGTAAATATTTCTCTGATAAAGATAAAAGGAACTCAATAGTTAGCTGGTTAATTAGAGATGTATCTGTGTACTTTGAAGCCATGCAAGGTATTCTTCTCCCATCGATGTTGAAAACAGTTTGTCACTAATTTTCTAGACTAGTCTTGGAAGTGATAATTAACATTCAAAAAGACACATCACATTGGGGAGAAAGTTGGTAACACAAGAGGCAGTGGGGTATTTTTAACAAACTTCAAGGCGTTAAAAAAGTTATGAAACAGTGTTGAGTGTTTAAAATATCTTCTCAGTTGAAACTTAAACAAAAGAGAATAACTGAGAACTATAGTGAGTTCTTATTAGTAATAATTGTTCTCTGCTAATGCGGTCATCATCCTCCTGTGCCATCACACGTGCGCTATGATTTTTTTGTTTAATCTCAATGAATTATTATTATGTTTGGGATGTATGCTAGTGTGCAATACCACACAGCAATGCGTGGTTCCAGAAAATATCCATACCCACCCCAAGGAGGGTTATTGGAAATTCCATCAGAAAGTATGAACCAATCCTGGAATTTAAATAGGGATGTGGGGTTCAAACCAAAAAACCCTCCATGGAAGGGGTATGGAACAACATAATTTCAATTTCTGCCTTCAGCACCTATTTAGTTAATTTGGTGGCATTTTAAAAGGCATAAAGTGTTAAATATTTTGGAACATTTTGAGTTGATTTAGCATTTCTCCTTTTTAACTAATTGCCTGGGGCAAGCCTAGTTCTTAATAATTCTCTGAGGGTTTCATTGTTGTTGTTTGGTTTTTGGTGCATGGGCCCATGCTTGCAGACAGTAAGTGTTAACCTGTTTAATTGATTGATGCCTTTTACAGTTTGTTACTATGCAAATGGGATGTGCAGCCAAATATACTTCAGACTCGGTCTAATGACCTGCAAATCAAGCAAATTTTTCACGAAGTAAAGAAAATGTTTGCTTGGCTGAAATTAAGTGAAGTCAAAAAATTGCCTTAAGCTTTAGATCACAAGAATGTGAGGCGATTATGAAAATGTATACTTACCAGAGTTTTTTGTGGTCGCTTAAACAACAGATAATCAAAAGAAAGCCAATGTTTTATTGACAAGTTGAGGTGTAGAGATATTTGCCCATTATCTATTTCATCGAGATTCCCAAATATTTGGATGATTCAGGTGACTGAAAGCAGCTGAGAGTCACGTTTTTTGAGCAAAATAATAATAATAAATAATTATATTATTATTAGCGAATCCAGCTAAGTTGGCTCTTCTATGCTCATATATGCTAGAATAAATTCGAACTTACAGTAAAAAAATTAAAATTATACAGTCATGCTAAAAAATCTAAAGAGTTAAACATTAAATTAAAAGTCTTTCTTCTGCTTTTTCTTTAAAATATGTTTTGTCATGGCGATTGTACTCGTGTATATTATTCCAAGATCTAAGTGAGGCAGGCAAGGAATTAAAGGACTTTGAGGTGCAGAATTTGAAAGTTCAAGGTGTTGAGTCCAATTTGGTTGCTGGAGCGGGGAGTTCGTGCGGGTACATGCTGCTGTAATCTCAGGTGTTGAGGCCAGTGACTGCAGTACATGTAGATTGAGTTGAACGCTGATTTTACCATATGAAAGTTTCGTCTCTCAGCAATTGGAAATCAACTCAGTTTTAAGATGTTACACGTACACCTCTACAAATTTGCTTTTGTTTTCTGAATACTTTTCTTCTTTTGGTTTTGACCAAATTGCAACCCTTATCTTAGATTTAATTAATACATTACATAATCGTGAGTGTACTACAGCTGGTTGGCATTCCGATTTCCTCTGACCTCTGCGGCTGAACAACTTTTCTAAAGTTCTTGCTGATGGTAAAATCTGTCTTAGTGATTACAGCAAAATAAAAACTCGGACGCACTCTGGGATAAACTATGACTTGTCGGTACTTTTATTACAAACTGAATATGGAGAACTTGAAAAGAGCTTTCAAGACTGTGTATCTGGACATGCAGGAAGCTGTCTTGGTTTTCACAGAGTTATGGAAACAAGATGTTTCTTGTAAATACTTGAGGGGAATGTTAGAATGTTAGCACCCAATCGAGTTCGCCCACCAAGTTCGTCCTTAAACACTTGTTGATAAATGTCTGCAATTTCTTGATCAGTAGTTTTGTCGATCTCCAGGTTTCCGAACCATACGGAAGGGCAGACTTCACCTTCGTATTGAAAATCCTGAGCTTTGTTTGCAATCTAATACGTTTTTCCTTCCACCATCGAGAATGTCGATTGCGCTTTTCTTATCCTGGTTGTTATGTCCTTGTCAGTTCCGCCAGTTTCATTGATGATTCTTCCCAAAAACGTGAACTGGAACGCTCTTTCAACAGCTTCCCCATGAAGTTCCAATGATTCTTGTTGTTTCACGCCAATCCGCATCTCCTTTGTTTTCTGGATGTTGATTTTGAGCCCTACCCGACCAGCAGTCTCTTGTCATCTTTCTCCTTTCACTTTCATATCAGCCAGTCGGTGTGTTAGTAAGCAAGAGTTGGGTCAGAAACCACTGGAGTCCCAAACGTTTACTCTCGTATGCGTTCTTTGACACCCAGTCAAGTACCACAAGGAACAACAACGGCGAAAGAAGGCATCCCTGTCTCACACCGGTCTTGACCTTGATGGGTGGGCTCGGTCATAGTTCTTCTATGAAGCACTTGGGAATTAAATCCCTGATACTGAACCTTAAGCATATTGATGATTTTATTAGGCATACCGTAATGACGAAGAATCCTCCACAAAGCCTCCCTATCCAGAGAATCAAAGGCTTTCTCAAAATCCACGAATAACAAGTACAGGGGGGATTACCACTCGATTGTTTGTTCTACAACAATCCTCAGTGTGGCAATTTGATCGATGCAAGAACGATCCTTTCTAAATCCCGCCTGCTTGTCTCTCAGGGCTTCGTCAACAGCTACCTTCATTCCGTTCAGTTTGACCAGGATTAAGACTTTGCTGGGTATCGAGAGCACCATTATTCCCCTCCAGTTACCACACAAACTAAGGTCGCCTTTTTTTGCCAGCCTTACTAGAAGACCTCTCTTCCGGTTGTCTGGAATCTCTTCTTTCTCCCATACGAAATTTAAAATTCTATGCAGTGCTTCCACAGTTCAAAGACCTCCCTCCTTCAGTGCTTCAGGAGGGATGTTATCCACCCCTGGAGCTTTGGCATTCTTCAGTTGAGTGAGGGTTGTTCTAATTTTTCCTCTGGAAATAGGTCCTGTGTGCCACCTCGGTTTCCCAAAATTGATTCCACCTAGCTTTGCTGGCTCCCAAGATTTCCAATCTATAACGCCTCACTTCTGCGGCCAGTTGCGCCAACTTTCCAGACTCGTATAGGGTTCGCACATTCCATTGCCCTATCCAGGTTTTGAGTTTCGGAGAGAACAACTTCATCCGCGGGATTCGCTTCATTCTCGTTCTCACCTTATGGTCATGCTTCGGTTTTAAAGATCCCTGCTCGATCTCTACTTGTAAAAGAGACCCGGCAAAGTTTTCCATAGTTTCGATTTCAGTGACCCGATAAATCCACCACGTAGGGGGTTAGCCTTCGCAGCTTCACCAGAGCTCCCTAATACCCCTATACCCTGATGCCCTAATACCCTGATACCATAATACCATAATACCCTAATACCCTAATGCCCTAATACCCTAATACCCTAATGCCCTAATGCCCTAATACCATAATACCTTAATACCTTAATACCCGAATGCTCTAATATCCTAATGCCCTAATACCGTAATACCCTTGTACCCTAGTAGTCCNACCAGTTGGCAAAATATCGCCTTCTACTATTGTAAACGGAAAATTGGTCGTTTATCAAAGTTACGGGGTAAAAACCAGCTCCAAGCTTTGTTTGTTTTTGAGTCAAGGAGCTCAACAAGGATAGGAAATTAAAGACGGCGAAAGACATGAAGATATCTAAATTAAAGCCGAACAAGGTGTCACCTTTCCGAGTATATTTAATATCTAATATCCAATTTTATTTTTCATTTTGTCAATCAATCATTATTTTATTTCCACACTAAACAACTCATATTCTTTCCTTTTATCTCTTCCACTGTACATACATACACACATACATTACTTACAATCGGATTTCAGAGTAGCTTATGCAGCTAATATCTCCGAGCATTTAACCATCAGATGAGAGATAGACCGCCACCTACTCTTTTCGATTGGTGTGTGGGTTCTTTTACGTCCCACAGAATTATTTATGAAGAGTTGTGAGACGGGTCTACGGTTTAATGTCCTTATCCGAGAAGACTAAAAAGTCTAACCATTTGCTGATGTCATTACAAAGGCAGCACTTTCTCCTCAATTATTTAAAGACCCTGAGTGTTGGTCCGGCCGGGGTTTGAACCCGCGACCTCCCGCACACTAGTCCGGTGCTCTACCACTGAGCTAACCAGTTGTCGGTCTGATGACACCAATTGAAAAGTGTATGAAAGACAAATGGTGACAATAAAAATGACACTTCTGTTCATTATTGTTAAATTTTGTCACAGATTGAAAATGTACCTTTGAATTAAAATAAGAAACTTCTTTGTCACTTTCATTTTTTAAATAAACACCACTCTCAAATAAGCACTGCCCTCGAATAAACGCCACATTTGAGGTGTGAAAAATTTAATAAGTGTTGCGGTGCTTATTCAAGTAAATTCGGTATATGTCAACTGTGTGAGTGAACTGACAGACACCATAATTATCATTGACCTATAAAAAATTAACCTCTATTAATTGCCTTGTGAGAAAGATAGTCCTTTAAGCTCTACTTACAGTTCTTTTTTTAATTAGCATACATAATTGTGTAATTTTCTTATAGACTGCACTGGGTCAGATGAAGATGATCAACCAAGGACTAAGACTAAACACAGATGACAAGTACTCCATTCTTCATAGCCGTATGAGCATCTTCTGCAGCAGTACCAGAATTAGCTTTGGTATCTTACGGCAGCAATTATGTCTGGAAGAAGGGACTCTGTCTAAGGTTCCTAAAGCAGAAAAAGATACCAAGTTGTCTCCATCAATTAAGAAATTAGTCATATTTATTACAAATTAAAAAGTCAATTTGGGGGGGTGGGGGATTTTGGAACTTCAGATTTATTGTGTGGTCATTCATTTTGACTGGGTTTGGGGTTTTTCCTTGAACTTTCTGGGTTTTTTCTTGTTGGTATCCTTTGCAATGTGTGCTATAAACAGCAATTTTTACATCTGACAGTTGGTTATGCTCAGATGGTAGATCATGTACTTTAGCAAGATCAAGTATTATTCATACTTAGGGATGGACCATTTGACTTTTAAAGGGGTGTGTGGGTGATTTGATATCTAGGTATGATTTTTTTATCCTTTTAGCGCATTAGGGAGTTTTTTTCTCAGGATGTGTGTATCCATGATATTTTTTCGTCATGTAACATGCTTTTTTTCTGGCTCTCTGATCATGAACATGCAGTGGTTGACAGCACATGAATTTTTTTGGGTACAAGAATCCTTGCAGGATATTTTTTTTTGTAAATCACCCAACCTCTCCCTCAAAGTCAAATGGTCCATCCCTTAGCTGTTTCTTGATGCAATTCAAAAGGTGGGCTTCTGGTTGGTGAATTAGTGATTATGATTCTTTTATTTCTCATATTGAGTTTTGATCCAGGCCATTTTAGGCTGTTTTGCCAGTTTTTTTTCCAAAGTTCTCCCTCCCAGTATTTGCAAATATTATTATTTATTGAATGCTTATTCACTAATAATTCCATGGAAATGGAAGGCACTTAATTGCCAATGAACAGCCTGTTTACTGGCTATTTGAATGAATCGTCTGAGTTTTGAAAGAACCAATTGCATGGCCTGTAGGGTTGTTCAGGCTAATTTGCCTGTCTGTCTGTAAAAGTATTTTAAGAGGATTGAATGTTAGAACCGTAAATATTTCTCTGATAAAGATAAAAGGAACTCAATAGTTAGCTGGTTAATTAGAGATGTATCTGTGTACTTTGAAGCCATGCAAGGTATTCTTCTCCCATCGATGTTGAAAACAGTTTGTCACTAATTTTCTAGACTAGTCTTGGAAGTGATAATTAACATTCAAAAAGACACATCACATTGGGGAGAAAGTTGGTAACACAAGAGGCAGTGGGGTATTTTTAACAAACTTCAAGGCGTTAAAAAAGTTATGAAACAGTGTTGAGTGTTTAAAATATCTTCTCAGTTGAAACTTAAACAAAAGAGAATAACTGAGAACTATAGTGAGTTCTTATTAGTAATAATTGTTCTCTGCTAATGCGGTCATCATCCTCCTGTGCCATCACACGTGCGCTATGATTTTTTTGTTTAATCTCAATGAATTATTATTATGTTTGGGATGTATGCTAGTGTGCAATACCACACAGCAATGCGTGGTTCCAGAAAATATCCATACCCACCCCAAGGAGGGTTATTGGAAATTCCATCAGAAAGTATGAACCAATCCTGGAATTTAAATAGGGATGTGGGGTTCAAACCAAAAAACCCTCCATGGAAGGGGTATGGAACAACATAATTTCAATTTCTGCCTTCAGCACCTATTTAGTTAATTTGGTGGCATTTTAAAAGGCATAAAGTGTTAAATATTTTGGAACATTTTGAGTTGATTTAGCATTTCTCCTTTTTAACTAATTGCCTGGGGCAAGCCTAGTTCTTAATAATTCTCTGAGGGTTTCATTGTTGTTGTTTGGTTTTTGGTGCATGGGCCCATGCTTGCAGACAGTAAGTGTTAACCTGTTTAATTGATTGATGCCTTTTACAGTTTGTTACTATGCAAATGGGATGTGCAGCCAAATATACTTCAGACTCGGTCTAATGACCTGCAAATCAAGCAAATTTTTCACGAAGTAAAGAAAATGTTTGCTTGGCTGAAATTAAGTGAAGTCAAAAAATTGCCTTAAGCTTTAGATCACAAGAATGTGAGGCGATTATGAAAATGTATACTTACCAGAGTTTTTTGTGGTCGCTTAAACAACAGATAATCAAAAGAAAGCCAATGTTTTATTGACAAGTTGAGGTGTAGAGATATTTGCCCATTATCTATTTCATCGAGATTCCCAAATATTTGGATGATTCAGGTGACTGAAAGCAGCTGAGAGTCACGTTTTTTGAGCAAAATAATAATAATAAATAATTATATTATTATTAGCGAATCCAGCTAAGTTGGCTCTTCTATGCTCATATATGCTAGAATAAATTCGAACTTACAGTAAAAAAATTAAAATTATACAGTCATGCTAAAAAATCTAAAGAGTTAAACATTAAATTAAAAGTCTTTCTTCTGCTTTTTCTTTAAAATATGTTTTGTCATGGCGATTGTACTCGTGTATATTATTCCAAGATCTAAGTGAGGCAGGCAAGGAATTAAAGGACTTTGAGGTGCAGAATTTGAAAGTTCAAGGTGTTGAGTCCAATTTGGTTGCTGGAGCGGGGAGTTCGTGCGGGTACATGCTGCTGTAATCTCAGGTGTTGAGGCCAGTGACTGCAGTACATGTAGATTGAGTTGAACGCTGATTTTACCATATGAAAGTTTCGTCTCTCAGCAATTGGAAATCAACTCAGTTTTAAGATGTTACACGTACACCTCTACAAATTTGCTTTTGTTTTCTGAATACTTTTCTTCTTTTGGTTTTGACCAAATTGCAACCCTTATCTTAGATTTAATTAATACATTACATAATCGTGAGTGTACTACAGCTGGTTGGCATTCCGATTTCCTCTGACCTCTGCGGCTGAACAACTTTTCTAAAGTTCTTGCTGATGGTAAAATCTGTCTTAGTGATTACAGCAAAATAAAAACTCGGACGCACTCTGGGATAAACTATGACTTGTCGGTACTTTTATTACAAACTGAATATGGAGAACTTGAAAAGAGCTTTCAAGACTGTGTATCTGGACATGCAGGAAGCTGTCTTGGTTTTCACAGAGTTATGGAAACAAGATGTTTCTTGTAAATACTTGAGGGGAATGTTAGAATGTTAGCACCCAATCGAGTTCGCCCACCAAGTTCGTCCTTAAACACTTGTTGATAAATGTCTGCAATTTCTTGATCAGTAGTTTTGTCGATCTCCAGGTTTCCGAACCATACGGAAGGGCAGACTTCACCTTCGTATTGAAAATCCTGAGCTTTGTTTGCAATCTAATACGTTTTTCCTTCCACCATCGAGAATGTCGATTGCGCTTTTCTTATCCTGGTTGTTATGTCCTTGTCAGTTCCGCCAGTTTCATTGATGATTCTTCCCAAAAACGTGAACTGGAACGCTCTTTCAACAGCTTCCCCATGAAGTTCCAATGATTCTTGTTGTTTCACGCCAATCCGCATCTCCTTTGTTTTCTGGATGTTGATTTTGAGCCCTACCCGACCAGCAGTCTCTTGTCATCTTTCTCCTTTCACTTTCATATCAGCCAGTCGGTGTGTTAGTAAGCAAGAGTTGGGTCAGAAACCACTGGAGTCCCAAACGTTTACTCTCGTATGCGTTCTTTGACACCCAGTCAAGTACCACAAGGAACAACAACGGCGAAAGAAGGCATCCCTGTCTCACACCGGTCTTGACCTTGATGGGTGGGCTCGGTCATAGTTCTTCTATGAAGCACTTGGGAATTAAATCCCTGATACTGAACCTTAAGCATATTGATGATTTTATTAGGCATACCGTAATGACGAAGAATCCTCCACAAAGCCTCCCTATCCAGAGAATCAAAGGCTTTCTCAAAATCCACGAATAACAAGTACAGGGGGGATTACCACTCGATTGTTTGTTCTACAACAATCCTCAGTGTGGCAATTTGATCGATGCAAGAACGATCCTTTCTAAATCCCGCCTGCTTGTCTCTCAGGGCTTCGTCAACAGCTACCTTCATTCCGTTCAGTTTGACCAGGATTAAGACTTTGCTGGGTATCGAGAGCACCATTATTCCCCTCCAGTTACCACACAAACTAAGGTCGCCTTTTTTTGCCAGCCTTACTAGAAGACCTCTCTTCCGGTTGTCTGGAATCTCTTCTTTCTCCCATACGAAATTTAAAATTCTATGCAGTGCTTCCACAGTTCAAAGACCTCCCTCCTTCAGTGCTTCAGGAGGGATGTTATCCACCCCTGGAGCTTTGGCATTCTTCAGTTGAGTGAGGGTTGTTCTAATTTTTCCTCTGGAAATAGGTCCTGTGTGCCACCTCGGTTTCCCAAAATTGATTCCACCTAGCTTTGCTGGCTCCCAAGATTTCCAATCTATAACGCCTCACTTCTGCGGCCAGTTGCGCCAACTTTCCAGACTCGTATAGGGTTCGCACATTCCATTGCCCTATCCAGGTTTTGAGTTTCGGAGAGAACAACTTCATCCGCGGGATTCGCTTCATTCTCGTTCTCACCTTATGGTCATGCTTCGGTTTTAAAGATCCCTGCTCGATCTCTACTTGTAAAAGAGACCCGGCAAAGTTTTCCATAGTTTCGATTTCAGTGACCCGATAAATCCACCACGTAGGGGGTTAGCCTTCGCAGCTTCACCAGAGCTCCCTAATACCCCTATACCCTGATGCCCTAATACCCTGATACCATAATACCATAATACCCTAATACCCTAATGCCCTAATACCCTAATACCCTAATGCCCTAATGCCCTAATACCATAATACCTTAATACCTTAATACCCGAATGCTCTAATATCCTAATGCCCTAATACCGTAATACCCTTGTACCCTAGTAGTCCTAGTACCCTAACAGGAAAAGTATTGCAGTCGAGCAACTTTTCTCACTTCAGACGGCATCAAATGTGTAAGAAAAAAAAATTATAACTGCAAAACCCATATCAGACTGTAGAAAGTGAAAATTAGGAAACATTTTGTGTGTCCGAACTTCTAATTTGGCGCCAACGGCCGGCAACTCGCCAGGTAGGATGATAGTTGTCTTATTCTGAACAAAAGATGTAGTTCCTTATTAAATTAAAGCCAGAATTCTCGAGTTAACTACTATATGAAGCCAAAGCAACTTTAGCATACTCTTTTTTAAAAAGGAAATTGCATAAGCAATCTATTTAACAAATAGATTCCGTTTTGCCGTGCGTCTGTTCAGTAATAAATCACAGATGACGTCAAAATGTGGTAAGAACAAATAAGTTGCACACGAGGCGATAGCCGAGTGTGTCACTGATGCTCTTACCACATTTTGACGTCTTCTGTGATCTTTTACTGAACAGACGCACGGCAACATGGAAT